AAAAAAAAAAAAAAAAAGGTGATTTTTCTATTAGTTCTCCAAATAAACACCTTCCTTTAAGTGGCAATGCAATGGCAACTAACTTGGCATCTTGCCCTTGTTCTTTGTTTCCCCCCAGATGTGTGATATCGGAGATGCATCTAGAGGCAGCTTATCGTCATATGCATACACTCTTATGGTGCTATATTTTCTCCAGCAGAGGAATCCACCCGTCATTCCTGTCCTTCAAGAGGTATTAGTGACAGAAATTGTGCTTTTCATCTGTAAAACGGGGTGATTTCTGAACCTCTTTCTTCTTTATAACCTGTGGGTCTGTAGTTAAATTTTTAACTTTTCCTAGATGTGCTTGTAACAATGCATTCAGTTTGTCATCCATACTAATAATTTAAAAATTAATTTCAGATTTACAAAGGTGAAAAGAAACCTGAAATATTTGTTGACGGCTGGAATATTTATTTTTTTGATCAAATCGATGAACTGGTACGTATTTAAAAGTAAATGTTTTCCTACATCCTTGACTAAAAATTAGCTATTTTCAGCTGTAGTGTAGTCAGCCATATATATTATTGCTTGTTATATTTATTTATATTATCGTAGTAAAAAACTAGGATTTACAGATGTTTCCTGTGGAGTAAAAACACTTCTATTAAGCCAGGTGAATTCCTACGGACAACGTCCAGTAGTTCTTGAACACCTAATAATTCCAAATGGTTGAATCATTTTGTTACAAATGAATGAATATTTGTTCTATGATCTTTATACTGAGAGTTTGGAAAGGCTTTTACTGAGTAATAGAGACCAAATAACCACCGCATTAGCCAGGCTCTTAGAATTTATCTCTGATTCTTCCACTAACGTGTTCTGAGGTTTGACATTGAAAAATTTTAACTCTGTCTCCAAGTCATAGAGTAGAGATTAATAAATTTATGTAGATGATATATTAAAATGTGGGGAGGGGAAGTTACATAATTATATTTTTATGTATTTGAGCTCTAGTTAGTTAGAAATAAGTTTACATTTACTCCCTCTGGTGTAAATGATATTGTGCTTGACATTTTACTATAGAGAGTGACATCCCTTGTTTCCATCTATTTCTAGCCAGCCTATTGGCCAGAATACGGAAAAAATACAGAATCTGTTGGACAGCTATGGCTGGGACTTCTTCGTTTCTATACAGAAGAATTTGATTTTAAAGAACATGTTATCAGCATCAGGAGAAAAAGTCTGCTTACAACTTTTAAGAAGCAGTGGACCTCAAAATATATTGTTATTGAAGGTACAAATAAAATCACACTTGTAATTGAATAGAATATATGGACCGACCAGTAGTTAAGGCAGCTGAATCCCATGTGACCAACTACCTGGCTTGATTCCTGCCATGGCAGCTCAGAGAACACACTAGGCTCATGTGCACGCATGTCCAAAATCCTGAAAGGAGAAGTGGAGGAGAAGGAATTGTGGCATGACCATCCTCTGTGAGGTGCTTCTTCACATTCCCTCCCCCTTCCCCATCCAGTAAGCACATATGTTCTCTAACACATTTAAAAGTCACATACACATATACGTGTGTGTGTGTATAAAGTACACATGTGTGCGTGTGTATATTTTTAATTGAATAAAGTGTATAGTCTGAATTAGGAGAGCATTGCCCTTCTTTAACAGAGATCTTCCCGAGAACTGTGAGCTGCAGCTTGAGATGTCCTGTGCAGGCCCATTACTGCCCACAGCAGGCCCTGTCGCCTGTTTCCTGCCCAAAGATTGTTTTCCAAGCGACTGATGCCCTCACTGAGGACCTCTCACATACCTTACAGTCTCTAGTGCTTCCTACACAAGGACTTGAAGAATGCCACTAAATGCATTTTCAAGATCTCCATTTGTTGTTGGTGAAGTTTACCTATAAGTAATTGTATATATGTTTGGACATTATTTTGACCATGTGGAAGCCTTTTCTTTTTCCTTTGAATGCAAGGATCTGTTGGAGCCACTGATTTTTATAGTCTGTTTATTTTTATTTATAGAATTTTAATTTTAAAAAGACAAAGTGAAGTTTAAATGCTTAAAAATGAACTAAGAAATAGCTTAAGAAACATTTAGTTGATTTTGACAGGACTTATTTTGTTGTTTAATATACCTATATCACATAAAAGTAATATGTGTCATTTTGAGTTATGCTCTCATTACTTCTGCCTGTTGGCACTATTAAAATACTGTGAGTGGGACTAGCAGATGACATAGTGGTTATGTCGCTGGACTACCATATGGCCAACCATGGTTCGAGTTGCAGATCTGGTGGCTTCAAATTCACACCGGGCATGTGTGCATGCATGCCCAAGATCTCAGGAGGAGAAGGGATTGTGTCATGTCCGTTCTCACTGGGGGTGATTTCTCGCCTTTTTTCTCTGTCTCTCCAGCAAGCACATGCACCCTACAATAATAATAACCTCCCCTAAAAAAATCCTTGAAATACTGTGAACATAATGAAATCTACATCACTGTGGGTCATAGAAATGGTTTTGGCTTTGTAGGATATCATATGTCAGAAACATAAAACTTTGTTTTATTCTTTGTATTATCACAATGGGTTCTTATGGTCTGCCAATTAATTATCAAGGTTCTGTTGTTGTTCTTAGTTTTGCTGTAGGGCACATGCACTCATCAGAGACAGAGATAGGGAAAGTGACAAATCACCCCTTCCAGGGATGGCCATGCTACAATCTCTTCTCCATTTGCCTTTTGAGATTTTGGCACTTATGCACATGTACCCAGCATGATTTTCGCAGTGGGTCTGGGACTCAAACCATGCAGCCACCCTTGTGGGATCTAGCCACCTTGACCACCACGCCCAGCTGGCCCTTATTAATGTTTTGTTTTTCATTTTCAAAGTCTTATTGTCTACTCTTTTTAATATCATTTTCAGATGAGCTATTAGCAATCATGATTATATAACCAGCTATTCTGTATCGAGACAGTTCAGCAGTGGTAGTAGTAGTATTTGGTTTTGTTTTTTAATTTGCCAGAAGGTACATATATTAGCCAGAGGGAGAGGGAGAAAGCACCCCCTACCAGGGCATAGTCACATCACAGTCCCCTCTCTATTTCTTCAGTCTATTGGAATGGACACATGCCTGGTGTATTTTTTAATCCACTGGACCTGAGATTGAAACCATGAAGTCAGCCATGTAGAATCCAGCTCCCTTAGCCACTAGGCGACAGGGCTGGCCCAGTAGTAGTGTTGTTAAGTTATGCAATAGCTGACATTATAGTATCTGAGCTCTACCAAGCAACCAACCAAGATACCTCTACACACACTACATAAAAATCACCATAAGAAAACGTGACCGAACTAAGAAGGTAGCCTAACAGCAGTTGTTCTATAGGGTTAAAGGGAGGGAAGGGCCCCATATTCCCACAAACCGTTAGTCGAAGTCCCAGTGTGATTCACCTCATTATTGTGCAGAAACAAAACTAAAAAGTAGTGGGTGCCTCTTCTTACTTCTTTATACCTTTCGTATGTTCTATTTACATTCAATTCTCTAGTCTTCTCAATGAGAAAATCCTCAAAAAAGAGCCATCCACTTTTTTCCTTTGCCTTCTATTTTTTTTTAATTGCTAGAAGGCACTTCACTTACCAGAGAGAACGGGAGAGTGAGAAAGCACCCACCCGTGGTATGTCATCATGCCACAATCCCTTCTTCATTTCACTGTCCTGCTGGGAATTGGGGCACACCCACATACACTCACATCTGACGTGTTTCTCAAGCCACCAGTGCCAGGATTCAAACTTTAGTCAGCCATGTGCAATCTAGCTCCCTTAACCAGCAGGCTATAGGGCTGGCCCTTATTTGCCTTCTTGAGTATTGTTTTAGGCACGTGAAGGAAATGATTAAATAGCTACACAGAATTTCTAAATTATGACTTTTTGTGTGTATAGTATTTTAGATATCTACAAAATAATATTTGGATTTAGAAATAGTGCTTTTATCCCTATTTATTTCACAAGAGAGGTTATTCACAGCTCACATATTATACATTATACATAAGCATCCTTTCATCATTCCCAACACTTTCTGAGTCATCTGACAAGTAATAGTCTAAAGCACACGATGTAAATGTAGCTAGGACATTTGAGATGCAGACATTTAGGATGATGTGAGAGTCTTCATATGAAGCTTCTCCTGAGAATTGTATCTGAAAGTCATAACGATTGGCATGTCATTGAGACAGGTATATGGAAGGATCTTCAAAAGTTTATGGAAAGTGTATGTTATAAAAAAACTATGCATGAATTTCAGAGTTTTGCACCAAATTGAATTAGTGCTTTAATTGCATTTCCCATGAACTTTTAAAAGTCCTCTTATAGGTGTCTATTTTAATTTACAAACATGTTTTAATATCCAAGTTTAATTACTTTCTGAAATAATTTTTAAAGAGACTCATTAGCAGAAACATTTGGTGCTAAAATGTTTTAAATATATTTGTGACTTTTATTTGCATCTAAAGCTAGCATCATTACTTAGTAACAGGCTAATTGTGTCTTCTCCAAACAGTATATTGTTCAAGATTAGGCAACTTGTCATAAAGAACAGTATGTTTTTGTTTTGGGTTTTGGTTTTTGTTTTTGGAGAGGTTTCTGCTGTAGGGCACCTGCACTCGCTAGAGAGACAGACAGACAGTGAGAAATCACCTCCCCGGGGGGATGGCCACACCGCAATCCCTTCTGATCCATTCTCCTCTTGGGATCTTGGGCACACATGCACACACGCACCCAGCATGAGTTTAAGTCACCGGGTCTGGGACTCCAACAGCGGTCATCTACGTGGGAGTCCAGTGACATAGCCATTACGCCATCTGCTGGTCCCCAGAGAACAGTATTTAAATATAAAACATCTTTTTAAAAACTTTTTTACATTATTGCCATAGGACATGTGCACTCTCTGGAGAAAGAGACAGAAGTGAGAAATCACCTTCATAGGGGCTGGCAACACTACAATCCCTTCTCCATTCTCCTTCCAGGATTTTGGGCATGAAACACCTTCTTTGCCACTGTGCACTTTTGGGAAATGTTTTGTGTTATATTTAGTCATATATATTATTAGAATGTGTCAAGGATTTTAAGCTTACTTAAAAATAATCATGTAACACTTTTACTGTTGATAAACAATTTAGCTGATACTTCCTTGTTATATGGACAATGTCATTTATTGGATGAATATTGATACTTTATATTTAGATACTTAGTTACTCTCCTTATTTTTATCTTCTTAGATCCCTTTGATTTGAATCATAATCTTGGAGCTGGATTATCAAGGAAAAGTAAGTTACTTAATTCATGAATTTTTGGTTTTGCCATAGGGTGCATGCTGTCACCAGAGACAGAGAGAAGAAAAGTGAGAAAAAACTTCCTAGCAGGGATGGCCACGCCACAATGCCTTCTCCCCCATTCTCCTCTCAGGATTTTGAGGTGCACACACACATGCCCAACGTGATTTTCAAGTCACCAAGTCTGGGACTTGAAACATGGTCAGCTGTGTGGGTGACTAGAGCCATAAGTATCGTGCCACCTACTGGGCCCATTGTAAATTTTAACGTAGTTACTTTTCTATTTAATCATTCTAATTGAGTTTTTGTTCTTTTCTTCTTAGTGACAAATTTTATAATGAAAGCTTTTATTAATGGTAGAAGAGTATTTGGTATTCCAGTCAAAGGACTTCCCAAGGACTGTCCCTCAAAAATGGTAAGTATCTTTTGGAAATACAAAAAAAAAAAAAAAAAAAAAAAAAACATTTTAAAAGCATGTGGTTTGTAAACATCCTTTTTTGAAGAATTATTTTTTATTTAACTTTATTTATTATTTTATTTTGACCAGAAAGGGACAGAGAGAGAGAGAGAGAGAGAGAGAAGGAAAGCGAGAAAGCAAGCTGCCGGGTCTGAGATTCGAACCGCAGTCAGCCATGTGGGATGGGAGTTCGGCACCCTTAACCACAGCAACACTTGCTGGCCCCTGCACACATCTTAAACACATAATTTGTACACACTACATCAATAATAACTTAAACATTCTGAATGTCTGGTGAATCTAGCTAAGAATGTTATAATGATTGTAATGAAAATGATAATGCAAAACAGTTTCTAAAGACTTTTTTAGAAAACATTTCCCTATTCAAAGGCCATTTATCAGGAGAACAGATGGTAGTGGCAAGAAGTAGAGTTTGAATGGAAAATTAATAATCTTGGTACATTACCAAGGAAACACATACCAACACTTTATTAACTTTGAGTATGACAAAGAAATACACCCCTAAGCCTTGCAGTAGCTTCTTACTAGAGAAGGTGTGGGTTTAAGTTTGTTGAATTCTTATTTTCACTTTGATACTTTCTAGTCTTTGTTATCTATGCCAGCCTTTGTAGGTGACATCACTGTTTCATCAACATTCAGTTTCATGCCATCCTTAACCAAGCTCAGTTGTATATATCTAAGGACCTTCCCTCTCTTGTAAGTTTAGATCATTTAGTCTGCTTGCAAAAAGTGGTAAATCCTCTTAATGAGACTAGTATAATGACCATGCTACCTGTATTAAAGAACTATCAGGTTTTTAGGGGACCACACTCCTTGAAAACAAAACAGTTGTATTTAAAAATAGCAAGAGGGGACCAGCAGTTGGTGTAATGGCTATGTTGCTGGACTCCCATGTAGTCGATCGCAGTTTGAGTCTTAGACCCAGTGGCTTAAACTCACACCGGGCGCGTGTACATGTGTGCCCAAGATCCTGAAAGGAGACTAGAGAAGGGATTATGGCATGGCCATCCCGCCGGGCAGTGTTTTCTCACTTTCTGTCTCTGTCTCTGTCTTTCTGGCAAGCTCACGCACCCTATAGTAAAAACCTCTCCAAAAAAAAATAATAAAAATAGTAAGGGATGGGGCCACCAGATGGTATAGCAGTAATGTTGCTGGACTCCCATCTGGCCAACAGCTTTTCAAGTTCTGAACCCGATGGCTTGAAGATCATGCCAGGTATGTGTGTGTCTTTGTGTCCGTGCGTGCGCAAGAGCGTCCAAAATCCCTGAAGAAGAGTGGAGGAGAAGGGATTGCGACATGACCATCCCCCATGGGGGGATGATTTCCCACATTCCCTCTCATTGTCTATGTCTCTTTCTAGGCAAGCAAAAGTATCCTAAGATAAAAACCTCTTAAGAAAAAAAGGCAAGAGAAAAATAGAGACTAATGTGATGTTTTAATATGTGTATACAATATGAAATGATCAAAGTAAGCTAATCAACATATTCATTACCACAGTCATTTTTTGGGTGTGATATTTGAGATTGTCTCAGTTATTGTGAGATATATAATAATTATTATCAACTGTAGTCAACCTGCTTTGCAGTGGATCTCAACCCTTTTCCACCTGTTTAGCTGAAACTTTGTACTCTGACCAACAATTTCCCATCTCGCCCATCCTTATAAATAGACCTGTTAAGTGAACTTTTACGAACATGGCGGCACATTCTGCGTTCTATTATATGAGGGAATTTCAAAAAGCTCATTACAAAAATAGAATTAAAATGCAAGTTTACGGACTGGCAGGTGGTGTGGTGGTCGAGGCACTGGACTCAGTTCGAGTGCCTACTGCACTTTGCATCCCAGACTTGCTTTCTCACTTTCCTTTTCTCTCTCTTTCTCTGGTAAAATTTTTTAAATAATAATAAAAAAATTAAATAATTCTCTTTTTTTCTTTAAGAGAGATTTTTTTTCTGTAGGGCACATGTGCTCACTGAAGAGCTAGAGAGACAAAAAGCAAGAAGTCACCCATGGGGGGGGCCACGCCCCAGTCCTTTCTCCTCTAGTCTCCTCTCGGGATTTTGGGCACACTTGCACATGCTCCTGGTGCGAGTTTTAAGCTGCTGGGTGCTGGACCCAAACTGGTTGACTGTATGGGAGCCCAGCAATATAACCATTACGCTACCTGCTAGTCCCGAAAAATTAAATATTTTTTTTTTAAATGTACAAGTTTGTTTCAGAGCAAAATGTACAAAGTTTGTTTCAAAACAAAAAAAAAAAAAAAGAACCATGCATCATTTTCTCATAATACACATTTCCCATTAACTTTTTGAAGGCCCCTCCATCTTACACCTGACTTGTGCTAGATATTGCTGTGGCAGTCTTCTATGCAGTGCTTCTGAAACTCTTTCAAACAAGTCACCTGAGTTTGTTAAAATGCAGATTCTGATTCAGTAGATCTGGGGTGAGACCCAAGGTCATGCGTTTCAACAAGCTCCACGTAATGTCGGTGCTGTTTGTCCCCACTTTGGTAGCAAAGTGGCTAGAACTCTGACCATTCTTTCCTTTCTTCAGTTACTTTTCCTTTCAAAGTCACAACAAAACATAGCAACAAATAAGATTTTCCTTTCTCAGTAGAATCTGCAGAATGCAAATCATGTTCCTCTGTTTATTAGGTTATTGCCTTTTCATTTTCAGAAAAAGTGAAAACTTTGTACCCAGTTCTCTCCACATCCTGGGGAAGCCACCTGTCAAACGAGGCTGTGTGACGCTCTTAGAAGTGTGCTTATGCCTTGAACAGCACACTGTATGACTGAGAAGAGTGAATGCAAATGGATTTTGGCAAAATCATCCTGAATTAGGCCTCTTCATGGTTTAAGATTTTGTGTAGAATTAAACAGTAGGAATAATATTTTAAAATAATGATATGTCAGTGTTGTGGGGTAAGAACACTGTTTAATATCTGGTTAGTTTTTGTGTTTTGATCCAACATTAATAATTCAAGCTTTTAGGGGCCAGCAGTTGGTGTGTTGGTTAAGGCAGCTGGATCCCATCCCAACTCAACTATGTGGTCAAGTTGTGGACATTGAAGCTTGAAGAGCTCACAGGACATGTGTGTGCTTACCCAAAATCCTGAGAGAGAATGGAGGAGAAGGGATTATGCAGTGGCTACCCCCACCCCCAGGGGGTTGATTTCTCACTCTCTAAAAAAACAATAATAATAAAATTTAAAATATTTCAAGTTTTCATATATTTATGTTCTTGTAGGAGTACTTTTTTGATCCAGACGTATTGACTGAAGGAGAACTGGCCCCAAATGATAGATGTTGCCGAATTTGTGGGAAAATTGGACACTTCATGAAGGACTGTCCTATGAGAAGAAAGTAAGTAAATGTTCAAAAGAGGTGGTTTTGTTTTTATTTTCTTATTGTCTCAGCTTTTTAAATAAGATTTTATGGTAATAGGGAAAATAAACTTGTATAAAATCCAGCAGTTCTCAAATAAATTTAAGGGTGTTTATTTAAGTTTATTTATTTACTTCTTCCATGAATGAGGGAGAGACAGACAGCACTCCCAGTAGCGTCCCCATGCCATGATCCACCCCTTGTCTGCAGTCAGCTCCACCTAATGGGCTCACGGTACTCAGGAGGCATCCAAACCGGGCCGGAACTTTTCCATGTGGGATTGTCATCCAGTATTGTGTTTTCACACTGCATCACTGTCTGGCCCAGGGATTTTTTGTTACTGTTTTTTTTGTTGTTGTTGTTTTTAAGTAAAAATGAAGTGTTTTAATACATAGCTTTAAGTGCAGACTAAGGTTGACTCAGGTATGCAAGTGGTTTCCTCCAGGCCTGGTTCCCTTCCCTAATTTTGGTCATGGCCCTAATCATTAATCAACCTCTCCAACAGGGACAAAAATAAAAGAGGGAAATAAAATTCTTCCCTTACACAACAGTAAGTTCAAATAATTTCAGTCAGTGAATAATCAAATGAGTTCCTTCAGGATCTCAGTTACTGTACAATGAGTGAGGGGTGGCATGTTGGGCTTTATATTCTTCGTTTACTGAGCTTTAGGCCTGATTTGTACTCGGTTTAAACTTGAAATAACTCACAATCTAGAATCTAAGGAGCATTTTTGGCACTTTTTAAAATACACATTCTTGATTTAAATAATAGTCAGTGTCACGTAGGGCCAGAAAGAAGAGAAACACTGTAGTCCTAAACCCTGACTGAAGCAGCTTCTTAATAGGGAAGATGGACTTAAGTTTACTAAGTTATTTCCCTTTGATGACATCTATCCCGTTTCCTCCTGATCTTGGAGTTGAGGGACTTCAGAAGGTCTGTGGACAATCAGATTCAAGTGCAAAGTTTATTTTGGTGCAGATTGTTTTGAAGACCATGAATAATTTTTCATAACCTGCATTTTCCATGAATGTTATAAAGATGGCTGCCGATTGAGTATCTTGTTGGTTTCTGTGTAGATGACTAATGTTACGTCTTCCACTGCAGGGTGAGGCGGCGGCGCGATCAGGACGATACTGTGAACCAAAGATACCCAGAGAACAAAGAAAAAAGAAGCAAAGAAGATAAAGAAATTCAAAACAAGTACACAGAAAGGGAGGTATCTTCAAAAGAAGATAAACCTTTGCAGTGCACACCTCAGAAAGCCAGGCCGGTGAGGGCAGCCGTCGATGTGGGCAGGGAGAAGATGCTCAGGCCACCAGTGGAAAAATGGAAGCGACCAGATGACAAAGACTTACGGGAAAAGCGTTGTTTTATTTGTGGAAGAGAAGGGCACATTAAAAAGGAATGCCCCCAGTTTAAAGGCTCTCCAGGTATGGACACCTATCACACCTTGATGTACACACTACCATCTCAAGGGAAATCTCTTTTTTAGAGTTCTTTACTATTTTAATTATATTTATCTCTTTAACAAAAAAAAAAAAAAAATTATTCAAGAAAGATTCTGCTTTTAAGAAAGTGAAATCTCTCCCACCACCCCTTTCATTCTGATCTGCTCTATGTCTTAAACACCTACTCCTGGTCTTATGTAGAGTCTTATGAAAGCTATTCAGTAAGCTTTTCTAAAATCGCCAGTGAGGTGAAATGTAGGGGATATAGCCTCACTGACCCTAAAACAATCTGCAGCTTGAGCTTCATCCTCAGTCTTCTTCCTTTTGAGAGCAAAGCACTACTGGAGCTGTGTGTGGGGAAGGGTGCGGGGCAGGCCAGATTGCCCCAGGACACCGTACCACGTGAGTAGGTGAGCCCCTCGCATTTTTGTTAAACAGGCGTGGGCACACACACAGAAATGAGAATAGAAGGAACATGCTGCTTAGGAAGCAGAGGTCGTATCTGCAGAGAGGATTGTGAGGCATTTCTTGAAGAGATTCGATCATTTTCATTTCTGTGAGCATGAGCAGTCCAAGATGAGGAAAAATATATCACCAGGCAGTAGTGCAGCATCGCCCACAGGTCAGCCTCACCACTGTAGCCTGCACTGGGTGACACTGCTACTCAGCACGAGGCCACAGCCACGTGGGAGGCCCAGGTTCAATCCCCAACCCACCTTAAAGCCTGGGCACAGTAGCGTATGCCACAGTCCAGGCTGTTCAGGATTGAGCAAGAAGATTGTCCCATAGCAAGACCCTCTTTAAAAAATAACTAAATCATAAATGTTAAAGATTATCCACAATCTTGGCCTTTTGAGCAGTTAGAGTAGCCGTGTTTACTAATTGGGTAGTGTCTGTTGGGGGCACCCTTTTAAGTCTTAGTAAAGGTACCTTTTATATGTATTATAATGTATGAGTTACAAAGCAGTGTGTATACTCACACTTTGCTTCCTAGAACAAACCTGTGCCAGTGGATAGAATTTGATAAGCATAGAAGAAAAACCCTGAGGAGTAATAATTTTTTTATTAGCTAACCTCTTGATACCCTCAATTGTATATGCTTGCAGACAAACACAGAAGAAAGTCAACGCTGCTTTACAATTTCCTTCAAACATTCTAGCGTTTACAGTTTTGTAACACTAATAACTTCTCTTCCATTTTGTTTTATCATTTTTAGTAATATAGTGTATCTTTTTTTTCTTTTCTCTTGTTTTTTTTTGGGGGGGTGTTTTTTTTCTTTTTTTTTTTTTTTTTTTGACTAGAGGGTGTGTATACTCAGCAGAAAGAGAAAGAAGAGTAAGGAGAAAGAACCCCACAATGGGACATGGCCACACTGCAATCCCTTCTTCCCTATTCACCCTCCCAGGATTGTGTGCACATATACCATACATGCCTGATGTGCTTTTCAAGCCACTGGGGCCAGGATTTGAACCAGTCAGCCAGCCATGCATCGGGCCATAGAGCCAGCCCGTTAAGACAGAAATTTTATATTTATATTTTTGCATAGGGCACATGCAAGAGATGGACCCAGAGAGAAGGGAAGTGAGAAATCACTGCCCACGGAGGATGGCCACGCTGTAGATCTCTCCTCCATTCTCCTCTTGGGATTTTTGGATAGGCACACACATATGCCCAGCATGTTTTTCAAGCTGCCGGATCTAAGATTTGAACCACTGAGTTGGCCATGTGGCATCCAGCACTTTAACCATCATGCCACCTGCTGGCCCAAGACAGAACATTTTTAAATTTCTTTATTTAAGGAATTATATATGGATTGAAATAGATTTAAATTTTTATCCATTGTTTTTTAAATAATTCTTAAACGTTTATGGAAGATAAAGCTTTGTCTAGCTCACGTGGCCAACTCAGAACTTGAGCATGACATGGGACATACACCAAAGTAAAATAATCTTCTTTGGTGATTATAAGAGGAAAATATGCTTAAAAGAAATTAATTCAGTGTTCTTCTATACAAAAATGCACCATAACTTTTCCGACGGCCCAGTATAACTAACAGTTGCTGGCATTTATGGAGTGTTTATTATGGCTCAGGCACTGTTTTAAGTACATGGATAATTTCAGTTTTTACACTAGCCCATTAGATGTATTAATATCCCCAATTTACAGGTGAGGAGACTATAGACGATATAGATAAGATTTAATATGTTGATATTGTCCCAAAGTTATTATTCATAAGAACTCAAGGTCTGTACTTACTGACAGCGTGAAGGTTACCATCATGCTCCTCTTGGTACAGCAATGTGGCGTTCCCCCGCTCAGGTGGATTTCTTCTCTTTAGCTAGTAGCACGCTTCGTGTCAGTTACTTGTGAGGTCTCAGAACAGAGCAGTGTTTCTGGCAGCCTGAGGGGACAAATCAGAGCGAGAGGGTCTTTCTGGTGGCAGAGGTATTAAAAGTGCTCATCTGGGGCCAGCAGATGGCATGGTGGTTAAGGGCCCTGGACTCCCATGTAGCCAACTGTGGTTTGAGTCCTGGACCTGGTGGCTTGCTCTCTCACTTTTCTTTCTCTCTCTCGCTCTCGCTCTGTCCCTCTCTGGCCAAATAAAATAAATAAATAAATAAATTTAAATAAGATACTACACAGTAAAGTAAGGCATCATCATATAAAAGTGAAAGAAGGAAGGAGTGGCGATAGTCTGGTGAATTTCCTTTGGCAGCAATTAAAAAATCACCAGTTTCGTCCTTTCTAAGAATTACACTGTCCTTTCTTATTTCTTCAAATACATTATTACTTTGGCCACACAGTGTTCCGAGTGGAGCCTCTGTCATAACAGTAGGAAAACTCTCTGCAAAGATTTCAAAATAGGACTTCTGCTTTCAATTTAAAGTAGGAACAAAAAGTACAAATTTCTTTCTCTAGGTGTATCTAAATCAGATTGTGAGTTTGGATCCCCCTCTTCACCTAGCCCTTTGAGACCAACTGGCCCATTTGTTCAGGTAAACCCAGCTGCAAACTGAGAAGGAAGCCTCTCATCTGTCCATTCAAGTAATGCTTCCTAAGGGCTCGTGGCTCTGGGCCGGGTCTCGCTAGTGCTGGGCAGCCCCAGCCCTCCTTCTGACCGCCCCTCCTCTGAATGCTGCGCACATGCAGATATGAGGCTTGCCGGGCACTGGGGGCAGGGCCGTGCATCAGTTCTCCTGCAAATGTGTCTTGCTTTTGTATTAACTTGCAAAATTCTGCCACCCACATGCCTAATTTCAGCTCTCTTTAGATATGGTTTCAGTTTTAAGGTTGTTTCTGATGCTCTTCCCTTCGGTTGTATAAACCAGTCTATTTCATTTTTTAGGCAGTGTTTTTACATGAAGACAAAAAGAGACAAAAAACAACAATATTTTTGAGTCCCCAGTCAGGTATGTGGGTTTTAAGAAAACAACTATGTGTTATTTTATTTACTGCATTACTTTACCACATGCCTTCTGAGACTCTTCCTTTAAATAAGTGGATTTAACAGGGATTGGACATCGGAATCCCTTGGGGGACGTTTAGAAATAGTGGCCCTGCCTTTACTCTCATTTCCTAAATCTGGTTCTTCAGTGGTGAAGAGTGGGCCTGTGTGTTGGGAAATGTTCGAGGTGATCGAATACCACCCCTGCATAGGAAGCACAGCCTTCAGTTATCTATTCCTCTCCTGTGCTTTTTGTGTCTTAAAATTGCCGTTCTCTCTCCAGCAGTGTGTTCTATGGAGATTATTTGCAATGCTCCAAAGCATTGATAGAAAGTAATTGCTAGCTACCTCTCAGTTTCTTCATTTATTCATTCCTTCAACAAGTATTGACTACAGTTCCACCCCTCCCCTACAAGTACAGGGCACCGGCCTCAGTGCTAAAGATAAAGCAGCAAACACACAAGGCCCCTTCTCCTACTTGCTCTTTCTTATGGGACACACGCAGGTAATTTATATGCCAGCAGACGCTAAGATACAAAGGAAAAGAGAGTGTTAGGTGGGGGCAGCCTCTCCTTTAAAGTAGTGCTTAAATAAAACATCTAATTAAAGGAAGGAGCACTTCAGAGGAAATTGGAGTTTGACTGTTACATGCAAAGCCGAGAGCTTCTTGTCCAGCGTCACTGAGGCAGGGTGGCAGGAGATGAAGGAGTGAGGGAGGGGTAGGAGGTGAGGTCAGAGTGGACAGGGCTGGGTTAAGACATGCCTTCAAGCAGTGATAGGGACTGGAATCGTTTTCTCCAAGTGAGATGAGAAGCTGTTGGAGGGCTTCAAGCCAGGGTGTGATGTCCCTGAATTCTGTTGTGAAAGGTGCACTGTGGCTGCCGTGTAGAAGCCAGTGTGGGAAGCTTAGAAAGCAGCTCAGAGGCCACTGCGGTCATTCAGGAGCGGTAATGACTGCTTTTGAAGTGGCATCAAATCTCATTACAATTAGAAGTCAAAAGATAGGGGGATTGAGGTTAGTATTCTGAATGAGATCAGATCATTCATAGAGAAAGAAATAGAAATGTTCAAAGAGTTACCACTCTTAGACCCAAAAGGGGAATAATACCTGAAAGATAAGCAGGTAGGAGGCTCTCTGAGAATATGAGGACTGAAAAATAGGAAGAGTTCTATTAGAAAAGCCCCCAAGTCACAGAAGCTAAATGTAAATGGGGCCTACAGTGACGCAGGCAAGAGCAGCCATGAAAATGGGCGAGGAGACGGAGGGACCGGAATTCACAACCAAGCCAGGAGTGACTCCATGGAAAATAGACTCTGCCGCAGTTTATGGGGTTTTCCTTTCCCCAGGGACACTGAGAGTTTGAAGGCTAGATGAACGTCATAGAAATAGCAAGAAGAATTTCTTATCACAGAGTCAGCAGGTGGCATGGCGGTTAAGGCAGCTGGAGCCCATGTGACTGGCTGACTGCATTTTGAGTCTCAGCTTGAGTAACACACTTGGCAGGTGTGCATTTATGCCCATGATCACAAGGATGGAGAAGGGTTTGTGGTGTAGCCATCCCTCCTGGATGCTTTTTCACTTTCTCTCTTTCTCTTCTCTCTCTAGTGAGCACACATGCCTGATAGCAAAATGTACACAAAAAAAAATGTATCTTTACAAGCTCAGTCATGGACAGATACTTCCAAAATGTTTTCCATAGAAAAAATATTGACCCTTACTTAGGCAAGGTGTTCATTTTGCCAAGGATAAGGAGGCATAGTGTTTAAGAACACCAGTTCTTCTGTCATATTGCAAGGGTATAATTTCCAGCTTTTGATCTTGAAAATCCTTACCAGCAATATTCCTTGGTTTCCTCGTCTGTAAAAGGGGATAGTAATAATATTTGGCTGGTAGGGATATTGAGAAGTCCACAGGAAAGCACTGGGGACCATTCCTGCGTATAGTGAGAGAAGAGAAGAGGTGGGTGGTGGTGGCGATTGCACTGACACAGTATCCCTGCAGGTATTGCAAAGTCTGTGAGTGCCAGCATCCTTCCTGCTGTATAGATTTTGTCAGGACCAGCAGATATAATGGTCAGACATAATGGTTACATCTCTGGACTTCCACATAGTGGACCACAATTTGAGTCCTGTACCCGGTGGCTTAAAATTCACACCAGGCACATGGCCGTAGGTTCCCATGATCCCGAGAGGAGAATGGAGAAGGGATTGTAGCGTGGCCATCCCCTTGGTGATGGAGGGGGGGTGATTTTTTTTTGGAGAGATTTTCGCTATAGGGCGCGTGCGCTCGCCAGACAGACAGGACAGAAAGCGAGAAATCACCCCCCAGAGGGGATGGTCATGCCGCAATCCCTTCTCCTCCATTCTCCTCTCGGGATCTTGGGCACGCACGCACACGCGCCCGGCATGAGTTTTAAGCCACCGGGTCCAGGAGGTGAACCGCAGTCTACTACGTGGGAGTCCAGTGACATAACCATTACGCTAACTGCTGGTTCCCAAGGGGGGGTGATTTTTCACTTTCTTTCTGTCTCTCTCTGTCTCCTGCGAGCACATGTGCCCTATAGCAAAAAAAAAAAAAATCCCCCCCAAAAAAGATTCTACATGTCATAAAAATAGAATTTTACTATGATAATATAAATTTTTACTAAGTGGGAAGAAATGCATATAGTACATACACTAGCAATGGCATTACCAGTTGACAGGAAGTTAGGATTTCTATTATCTTCTGAGTAAAAGACTTACATGTTTGTAAATCTTTTGAGCAATTGAAAAAGCTTACTAACTTAAATTTACTATAGAAAATATTTATTATAATAAATATACTATTTTATATCTCCCCCCCAAAAAAGTTTTAAGTGGTTAACATTTATCCTTTCCAATAAATTGAACTTAAGTATATGCTTAGTAGTTACAGCGGCCAAATTTATCTGTGATAAACATATGCAAATGATCTGTTATGAATGTGAAATACATCTCAACTGTGAGTAGTATTGGTCTCCCCGAAGCTCCTCTTACACATGATACTGAGTACGTATGACCCACTGGTAGTTTCCTAAAGAGTATGTTGGTGCGGACTCCCCTGCTGTAACACACTGTCTTGTTCTTGGGCAAGATGTCTCGTCTTTAAATTGGTGATGACACCATCTATCTCAGAGTGCGCTGAGGATGAACGCACCCACCCTAGTAAACACTCGGCCACATTTCCTCCCTTCCTTTCCACCAGGTTGCACATGTTTCTTTATTCCGAATGACGTATCGGTAGATAGAAAATACTGTGCATTCTCCTGCTTTTCATTGTTACCTGTCTCTCCACATACATACAGCTAACACAATGCTTTAGATAGTGAGTTTTATGGATTAGAAATATACCCTCTCAGGGGGATTGAAGAAAGCTACGAGAGAATGGTCGAGAACATGAGTTTTGGAGCAGGTGGTGGAAACTGAAATGCAGCCTAAAAGGTACTCATCGTGCAGCCTCTGTCAGGTTATCCACCCTCTCATGCTTCATCTCCTTAAACAGACTGGGGCCAGCACCTCACAGGACTGCTGCAAGGCTTAACTTCATACAGAAAAAGCATTTAACACAGCATCTGACATCTCAGCTTTCAGTAAAGTATTGCTGTCTTTTGTTACTGTGGTTGATGGATAGACTCCAGCCCTCCTATAGTTTATCTCTTCTAACTTACAGAACAAAACATAAAAAACATAATGGAAATTTTTAACAAAGCTATGTAGAGATTGTAATCATAAACTGATTTTTATGCTTAATTATACTGATTCACATAGAACAATTCTTAGTCTGAGAATTTTAGAAAACTAACATTTCTATTTCTTAATCTCCCTCTCCCTTTTTTTTTTTTTTTTTTTTTTTGCAAAGAGAACTAGTTTAAGAAAAAACTACTGGGGCAAGCAGGTGCTATAGTGATTAGGTGCTAAACCTCCCACCTGGACAATCGCAGTTCGAGTCCCAGACGTGGCAGCTTGAAACTCACATCAGCATGTGTGCCCAAAATCCAAAGAGGAGAATGGAGGAGAATGGGATTGCAGTATGGCCATCCCCTCGAGGGGTGATTTCTCACTTACTTTCTCTCTACTTCTCTCCAGCTCCCTCTGTCGTTCCAGCTAGAGCATGTCCCCTATAGCAAAAAAAAAAAAAAAAAAACTCTTCAAAACAAAAACTACCTGTGTCAGGACCAGTAGTTAGCCTAACGGCTATGTAATCGACTGGGATTTGAGTCCTGGACTTGGTGGCTTAAACTTGTGCTGGGCACGTGTGCATGCATGCCCAAGATCCCGAGAGGAGAATGGAGGAGGATAGATTACAGTGTGGCCATCCTCCCTGGGGAGTGATTTCTCACTTTCTGTCTCTTTCTCTGTCTCTCTCTGTCTTTCTGGTGAGCGCACACGCCCTATAGCAAAAAACTCTCAAAAAATTAAAAAAAAAAAAACAAAACAAAAAAAAAAACCTACCTGTATCTTTTTATTTAGTCTGTTTTAACCCCATGACTTGAAATTTAAAAAATTGGAGAGGCTGGGAGAGATTAGTGATATCTTTTCTTCCTCCTGATGTTGAATACTTATATAATTTTTGTCATTGACTAGAATTTTTTTAAGAGATCAATATAGGGCACATACACTCACCAGAAAGAGACAGAGAGACAGAAATCAAGAAATCACCTTCCATGGAGAATGCACACCACAATCTCTTCTCTTCCATTCCCCTCTTGGCGTACTCACGCAGACACCCAGCATTGAGTCTCAAGCTGCTGGATCCAGGTCTCAAACTGGGGTTGGCCATGTGTGAGTCCAGCAATGTAACCACTAAGCCATCTGCTGGTTTCATCATTGGCCAGAATTTTAAAGTCTGCTTAGTTTAGTTTAAAAAAAAAAAAAGAAAAAAAAGTATTTCTAGTAGCAAATTTTAAATAATAGAATTTTTTTTAAATAGAGGGACCTTATTATTAC